ACGTGTGGCCTCAACTGTCCCGTGTGTGCCAGTGTTTACATGCCAGGCAGTGTGCGCGCATCTAAGGATACATTCGGTACATTCCACATTATCACTGTTTTTGGTGCTTGTTTCTGCAAAATAAGTCACCATGGGCCCTTCGAGAAAAAAGGTGCTAATGACTATTGAAATGAAGAAAGAGATAATTGCAAGGTACGAAAGTGGAGTGCGTGTGTAGGAGTTGGGCAGGTTGTATAGTAAACCCCAATCAACCATCTCTACTATAGTGACCAGGAAAAACGGCAATCAAGGAAGCTGTTCTTGCAAAAGGTGCAACTGTGATTACGAAATAGTGACCGCAAGTGTTAGAAGATGTTGAGAGACTGTTATTGGTGTCGATAAATGAAAAACAGATAGCAGGAGATAGCATCTCTCAAGCGATCATTTGTGAAATTGCCTGCAACTAGTGCTGATGTGAGTGAATTTAAGGCCAGCAAAGGTTGGTTTGAAAGATTTAAGAATCTTAGTGGCATACATAGCGTGATTAGGCATGGTGAGGCTGCCAGTTCGGGCCAAAAAGCAGCTGAAAAATATGTGAAGGAATTCAAGGATTACATAGTCAGTGAAGAATTTAAACCTGAACAAGTGTTTAATTGCGACGAAACAGGCCTGTTTTGGAAGAAAATGCCAAGCAGGACCTACATTACTAAGGAGGAAAAGGCACTCCCAGGACATAAGCCTATGAAAGACAGGCTACCTCAAGTCCTAATGGAAGGGGATTCCCCTTTTAAACAGTAACAACTTCGACACTCTCCCCTCCTCCCATTACATCAATCATCACCAGATCTTAATTAAAGGTAAGTGTCAATTATTCTATTATTCTATTGTTATTGTTGTTATTGTAATTATTCTATTGCATTAAACTTAATACGTATTTCATGTGGTAAAAATTTTTTTCATACTTTTGGGTGTCTTGCACGGATTAATTTGATTTCCATTATTTCTTATGGGGAAAATTGATTCGCTTTTCGATATTTTCGGTAATCGATGAGCTCTCAGTAATGGATTAATATCGAATACTGGGGGTCCACTGTATACTCAATAATTTTAGCGAATTCAAATCAAGCAGGAGAAAGCTGGTAGGCACACATGTGAGAGAATGGGTCTGTGTGGTCAGTGTGCACCACATAAAAAATATCCTGCAGCACGCAGTGCATAACGAGAAAAAAAACTGACCGGTTTTTTTTTTGGAAAAAAACGCTGAATTTGAGGTGTATTTTCATATAGATTTATCGTTGTATTCTCATTTTCAGGGTCTCACGTGATAAAATGAAAAACACTGCAGAAATAGAGATGATTTTGATTAGTTTCACTAAGAAAACGACCTTGAAATTGAGCTCAAGGTAGCGGAAATATTCGGTTTGCACCAATGTTCAAGAGTAAGCAAATCACACCACACGTCCAATACACGTCAACTGGGGAGTCTAATATTCTTTCACTAGTGCACTGATATTATTTATACCATTTTTACAATAATGCAGTAGTCTGCATAACAGTAAATTTTGTATTTTTTTGTAAATAAAAAATCAAAATAGAAGGCAACAGTAAAATAAGAAGGGCCTAGAGACATGACTAATGAACAGAGGATATGTTATTTTAGTGCAAAGAATATCTACATTGTTTGTTTTGGACCCTATTTTGAAATTGGCATCTATTTTAATTTGTGTGAAATTGGCCAAATTGCCAATTTCTGACCACTTTATTGGGTAGTCCAAATCAGCAAATGGGCAGTTTCTTGTACTCAATTGATAGAAAAAATGGAGTTCTAAAGAAATAGCTATGAGTTTTGTCAACTGGAACAACAGAATTGGCCAAAAACAGGGCTAAAAGTCAGCGAAATCGCCGATGCATATATGTTGCCGAGACCATTAACTTCATGGGAGTGTAATTCCGTGAGTTTGCCACCAAATTTCGTACTTTTGGTGTCATTACCATCGGGAAAAGATTCTCTATCATTTCATACGAAAAAATAATTTTTTTCCCAGAAATTTTGCGACATAGTATGACAGTTTCAGAAAGGGGTTTGCGACAGTCAAAGGGTTAAGAATATACCAGAAAAGGTATAAATGGTGCAAAGGTGACATTAAAACAATATCAAAGATGGCTGACCCAAACTCACTACCATTATCCCTTTCAGGGTCCAAGGCCCAAATCTGGAGTCACGCACCAGTGTCCAAGAATTTTCAAAAAAAAAATTTGTTATTTTTTCTTATGAAATCGTAGAGAACCTTTTTGTGAAGGTAATAAAACAAAAAGTACGAAATTTGGTGGAAAATTGACGAAATTATGCTCTCGCGAATTTTGATGTGTCAGCGATATTTACGAATTGGCGATTTTGCCGACTTTGACTCCCATTTTAGGCCAATTACATTATTCCAGTCAACCAAATTCTTAGCTATTTCACTAGTATTACTTCTATTCTATCGATTGAGCACAAGAAATCGCCACGTCAACTGTTTCAACTACAAAATAAAGTGATCGGAAATTGTTAATTTGGCCAATTTAACACAAAGTTCAAAATATTCCAATTTCAAAATAGGGTCCAGAATGAACAATGTAGGCATTCCTGGTACTAAACTAACATTTCCTCTGTTCATTAGTTATGTTTTGAGACTTTACAAATAAATTCCATTTTGATTTTTTATTCACATAATGAATTTTTATTCACACCAAAAAATAGAAAATTTACTGTTATGCAATACTGTAATAATTGTATAAATATCATCACCATATTTGTGAATGTATATTAGACCCCCCAGCTGATGTGTATTAGACGTGTGAGGTCGTTTGTTTACTCTTGAATATCGGCAAAAATTTAACATTTCTGCTACTTTGAGCTCAGTTTCAAGCCATTTCCAGTGCTAAAACCAATCAAAATCATCTCTATTTCTGTAATATGTCTTCCATTCTATCAAATGAGACCAAGAAATCGCAAATAGAACTATAAAAAACATACGAAAAAACACTGCAAAGTTGCTGTTTTAATCGAAAAATCATGATTTCATTTTTTTTCTCTCATTATACACAGTGTGCTGCAGGGTCTGTTTTATGTGGTGCACACATACCACATAGATGTATTCTCTCATATCTAGGCCCAAATGTACCACTCACAGTTTATCAGAGTGAGCTGAGCTCATGGCGTAGATCTATGGTTTGGACCCTGAACGTAAAGCCGTAGATCTATGGGACGGACCCTGAAAGGGTTAAAGTATGCTCCTCACTTAGAGATGAATTCATTTACTGACGTGCTCTCAGGAACGGAACTCCATCATTGAGAAGAGGCTGTTCGTACATTATGCATTACAGCCTCTCCTCACTTAACCCTATGACTGTCGCAACCCCAAATCCTGAAGTGTCTCCTGGTGTCACAAAATATTTGAAAAAAAAAAAAAAAACTTTTTTATGAAATAACAGAGAATCTTTTCCCAATGATAATGACACCAAAAGTACAAAATTTGATGAAAAACTTACGGAATTACGCTCTCGCAAAGTTGGCGAGCTTGGCGAAATTTACACATCAGCGATTTTGCCCACTTTGAGCCCTCTTCTGGGCCAATTCCATTGGTCCAGTCCACCAAACTCATCGTTATTTCTTTAGAACTCCATTTCTTCTATCGGCTGAATACAAGAAACTGCCCATGTACCGATTTCAACTACCCAATAAAGTGGTCAGAAATTGGCAATTTGGCCAATTTTATGCAAATTAAAAAATATGTCAACTTCAAAATAGGGTCCAGAATGAACAATGCAGACATTCCTGGCACTAAAGTATCATTTTCTGTTCATCAGTCATGTCTCCAGGCCCCTGTTATAATACTCTTGCTTTCTATTTCGAATTTTTATTCAAACAAAAAATAGAAGATTTACTGTTATGCATACTACTCCAATATTGTAATAATTGTATAAATAACGTCAACCCATTCGTGACTGCATATTAGAATGGCTAGTTGGACATTTATTGGACAATGACGTCATTTGTTTACTCTTGAACATCAGCAAAACTCGAACATTTCTGCCACTTCGAGCTCCATTTCAAGATTCTTTTCATAGTAAAACCAATCAAAATCACTTCTATTTCTATAATATGTTTTCCATTCTATCGAATGAGACCAAGAAAACAAGAATACAACCATAAATACCATACAAAAATACACTTCAAAGTCGGCGTTTTAATCCAAAAACACAGTTGGAGTTTTTTTTTCCTCATTATGCACTGCGTGCTGCAGGATTTTTTTATACTGCGCACACTAACCACACAGACCCATTCTCTCACATGTGGGCCTACCAGTTTTCTCCTGCTTGATTTGAAGCTGCTAGAATTTTTGAGTATATGTAAGTCAAACACACTGGCTTGTAAGACGTATATATACGACCGAAACAGTCAAAAGGTTAATGACGGAGTTCCGTTCCTAAGACCACATTGTTAAACGAATTCGTTGCTAAGTGAGGAGCATACTATAATGGTAGTTTGTGTCAACCATCTTTGATACTGTTTTAATGTTACCTTTGCACCATTTATAACATTTCTGGTATATTTTTAAATGTTTATACAGTAGTGTACTGTATATTGAAATAAACAGAATAGAGCAAATCAGCTCTAATATACATTATTTTGGTATGAATACTGGTCAAAGAGCCCATCATAAGCCAGAAGCGTTGGTAAACGTGTACGTCACTAAGTGAGGAGAGGCTGTATATGGGTCTCACAGGCCACAAAAGTTACTGGAAAAACATAAATATTAGGAAAGCAAAAAAGAACATACAACAAAATTAAAAAAAACTAATGCAGAGTGCGCGGCAGTCGTGGATGTTACCATCAGCTGGTCATTTATCATCAACTGAATGAATGATGGTCAATGTGCTTCCCTCTATGGGTCACCCTGTCATTATGGAAAATTCCCACTATTACAAAGAAGTAATATACAGAGAAAAATCAGAATGGGTAAGAAGTGTATACTCACCATATTTGTGCTAATGTCTGCTGAGGCAGATGAGACTGGATGAGAATGTTTCTTGACTGTACACCAGAGAGGTATCCTGTCTTGGCTCTGTCTGACATGTTAAACACCTGCGTATACTTGAGCTTGCTTGCCTGTGGTATAGCCCACTCACCGGGTGTCTGGGACCCACTGTATATAACAAAATACTCCATTAAATTTACATTACATGAGACATATGTAATCAAAGCTCAACTAACCTATTGGAACCAAATGTAATCAAAGCTAAACTATCAAACCTACTGTAGCCATACACAATGTTACTCACTGATAAATGGTTCAAAACATCAGACACACATGCTGCTAGCATATATGTCTCCATATTTTAGCTAATAAGTGAACTCCTAATAACTCAATGCTAATCATTCTTTATCAAGTATACTTGTATACTTTTCACATAATTCTAATTTATATCAGAGCTATTTCTCCTCAGGGTTGCAATATTACATCTCATCTATATGCTAGTACTTGCTAAAGCCCATAATATAGAATGAGACAGAGAATGTTAAATTTAAAAAAAGTACAAAGGAGCCCATCAAGCCTAGTGGCTGAGTTGAGGGATATAAACTAGGAAGACAAAACATAAGATCTAGTCAATGTGTTGCCGAAGAAAAAGAACAAGTGGAAACACATGTTGACATACGAAATACTAAAGGGCAAAGTAAGGGTTGAAAAGGATATACAGTAGGACCCCCATTTCCACGGATTCTGCATACATGGTTTCAGTTATCCACAGTTTACTGTAGCCAAAAAATAACCCTTAATTTTGCTTAATGCTGGGAGTTCTTCAAAGCCTAAGAGAAGCTGTGAAATACTTCTCAACAGTGAAAAATTGCTAATTCTACACTTATTCTGCTTAATTTATCAATTAACTTCATCAACAGCATGTATGTCAACAAAAAAATGACTTTAATAAAGTCTGAGGCAGCTACAGTGAAAAGCTCTGTTCCACAAGGCACAGTACTCATTCCCATCCTATTGCTCATCCTCATATATGACAGACAGAGATGTAAGCCACAGCACTGTGTCTTCGCGGAATTTGCATGACAGTGTCATCCATCGAAGACACTGAAAGACTCCAAGCAGACATCAACCAAATCTTTACATGGGCTGCAGAAAACAATATGAAGTTCAATGAAGAGAAACTTCAATTACTCCTATATGGAAAACTTGAGGAAATGAAAACTGTATCAGAATATAAAACAAATTCCAACCACACAATAGAGTAAAAACTAATGTGAAGGACCTGTTAGTGATAATGTCAGAGGATCTCACTTTCAAAGACCACAACAATGTATCTACCACATCTGATAGAAAAATGATAGGATGGATAATGAGAACCTAAAAAACTAGGGATGTCAAGCCCATGACGATTCTCTTCAAATCGCTTGTTCTTTCTAGGCTTGAATATTGCTGTACACTAACAGCCCCTTTCAAGGCAAGCAAAACTGCCAACCTATAGAATGTACAGTGAACCTTCACAGCACACACAAGTATGATAAAGCACCTAAATTACTGGGGACGGGCAAAGTCACTTGATGTGTATTCCTTGGAATGCAGGCAAGAAAGATACATGATAATATACACTTGGAAAATCCTAGAGGGATTAGTCCCAAATTTGCACATGAAAATCATTCCCTACAAAAGCAAGACTTGGCAGGAGATGCAACATTCCCCCAGTCTTGGGCCCCTGACACTAAGTGTCAGGGGCCGAAGATTGTTCAACTGCCTCCCAGCATACATAAGGGGGATTACAAGTAGACCCCTGGTTGTCTTGAAGAAGGTGCTGGACAGGCATCTAAAGACAGTACCTGATCAGCCAGGCTATGATTCATACATCAGTTTACATTTGGCCAGCAGTAACAGCCTAGTTGATCAGGCCCTGATCCACCACAAGGCCAAGTCATGGATTGGGCCGCAGGATTGTTGATGCCCAAAACTCTTTCGAGGTATACTGCAGGTATCCATAGTAAGTCTTGAAGATTATCCTCCCCCCGACAGATACAGGGAAACTACTGTACTAGTCTTTAACCCTTAAACTGTCCAAACAGAGATCTACGTCCATGTGTGGGGGGCTCCAAAAGTAGATCTTTTTTTTTTTTACATGCTTTCAAATGGGGAAAATCAAGGTCAGAGCGCCACACATGTGAACGTAGATCTACGTTTGGACATTTTAAGGGTTAACATGGGTGTATCAAGAACAAGACATCAATGCTGTAAACTTTATATCATTTGAGCCACCATTATGAAATATCTATGATAAACCTGTAGTCAGCTTCCAGTCTTTCTACTCCCACAGCCTCCAAGCTGAGGGAGTGATTACCTCATATTCTTCCTCATCTTCCACCTTTCTCTGCATTGGACTGAAGAAGCCACTGGCTGGCAAAACATTCCAGAATAAAGATACCCAAATGTTGCAAAAGTGTCTCATTTATCAACTTGTCAGTTTTCTAAACCATTTATTGAAACTCCAATACTTGTTATGGAAATGTGTAGGTGTGGGACTAGACCCTCCAGTGCCTTTCACACGCACATTATTCTCTCTCTCTTTCCACTCCACTACAGAGTACATATTCAATACCTGAGGCATTCCCAGTAGTTTTAAATACATTACTGGCTCTATGTTAGCAGTAAAGAATGCTGTATCTTCCATCAGAGAACACAAATGCTTTGAATGATGTAACCACTGACAAAATTTATCTTGTTTCGAAGGTTCTCCTTATCTACCTTTTGTAATATTTCCCATATTATATTTGTTTTTATTAACACATCAGCCATTTCCCACCAAGGCAAGGTCACCATTCACTTTATCACTGTCTTGTCAGAGGTGTGCCTACATTACTCTTGTGTTCTCAAAATGATAAATCAGCTGACATTATTACACCCAGGTCTTTCACATCATCATTTTTTTTTCTATTAGTGGTCCTTGTGTGTTTTGCATACTTAGAATATGTCACCATTACTAATTTTCTACTACATATTGAAAGACTTTCCTTAGATCTTCTAGGAACATAAGATGGTAAATAAGTGGAAAACACTAAACAATAACAGAGTGGAAGCAGACTCCATAGAGGCATTAAAAAAGTAGACATGACAGCTATTTCATAGGGGTCATTCCAAAGTTAAGAGGCAGTTCAACCCTCCTTTCCCGACACTTACAAACTTAATTTGTCTAGGGGATAATTTACTTTAAACATGATAATTTGTGCCACAGTCAATGGTAATCTCTATACAATGTTTAGCAATAAATTTGCTAGGAGTACTAGGAAGAATGTATGTCACAACATAACTCTTAATTAATGATGGTATTACTGCAGCTCAAGTGATACCTACTAATGCTCATAATGATTAGCTCACACTTTACTCATTATAGAAGCCACGTGACATAGCATAATAATACAGGCATATTAAAACTGGCATAACAATCAAACCACAGTATGGGTGGGGACTGAACTCTCACTGCCTGGAGTTTTACAACTCACTTGCCGCAATTTCAATCTTCATCCAACCCGTGGTTTGTTTGCAATCATGTCATTACAGTTTCATGAGCCATGATGGCATAATAATAATGGAATAATATTGGCATAATAACACCAGTACTTCACCTTATATAATGTCTTTTTTATCATTTATTTTTGCATCAATGTGAAATATACTGGAGTCCAATAGGTAATTACAAAACAGGCAAATTAACAACTGTAAAGGCTGATATTGTAATATATACCTTGTATATATTGCAATATAAACAAATAATTAAGTAATACATAAATAGAGTTTTTGAAGGACGAGGTTAACCATAGAAATGATGAAGGAAAAAAGGTGAGTGGTGCTTTGAGGTATCTGTGGAGAAAAAAAAAAAATTACCCATGGAGGCAAAGAAGGGAATGTACAAGAGTATGGTGGTACCAACACTCTTATATGGGTGTGAAGCATGGGTTGTAAATGCTGCAGCAAGGAGAAGGCTGGAGGCAGTGGAGATGTCATGTCTGAGGGCAATGTGTGGTGTAAATACAGTGGACCCTTGGTTTTCGTGATTAACCCATTCCAGAGTGCCTGCCAAAAACCAGAATTCCCGAAAACCAAAACCATTTTCCCCATAAGAAATAATGTAAATCCAATTAATCCATTCCAGATACCCAAAAGTATTAACAAAAATAATTTTTTTAGAGATTAAATACAGATTTACATACAGAAAAGAATGACAAATCAATATAAAGCAATAATAACATTACACTTACCTTTATTGAAGACTCTTGTTGGTGTATGGAAGACAGGAGGAGGGGAGAGGGAGGAGAAGTTACTATTGTTTGAAAAGGGAATCCCATTCCATAGAGACTTTAGGTACCAAGTCCTTATCTGCGGTTACTTCCTTCTTTGTTTTTAATGGCACTAGGACCAACCTGAGAGTCACTGGACCCCTGTTACACAAAAAATTGTTCCAGAGAGCTCTGTTTCTAGCATCTCTAAGATTTGCCTAAAATGGGACAAGATATTGTCATTGAACATGTCGCAGACACGGCCTTCAACAGCTTTGTTAGGGTGATGTCCCTCCACAAAAGTTCGCACCTCATTCCACTTTGCACAAATATCCTTCATCACTGAAGAAGGCACCTTCTCCCCTCTCTCTTCCTCCTCCTCTGAAGCAATTTCCTCAGCTGTGGTCTGTTGCTGTTGCAGATAAAGCCCTTGCAGCTCTTCAGTGGTTAGCTCTTCACTGTGGTCCCCCACCAACTCTTCCACATCCTGGCCACTCATATCCAATCCCATGAAATTCCCCAATGCCACAATACATTCCACAACCTTCTTTAGCAAAGGGCTGGCACTAGGAGCTTTCTTTGGGTACATGGTGGCTTATTTAGCAGTTGTAAGCAAAAAAAAAATGGATTATTGCAAAATGTTTCGTTTGAACACGAGGGGTGATGCTCACTCACTGAGAAACAATGCCAGATTGACTTTTGAATGTGTCTGTGGGAGGCTTTGTGTGCGCGGGGCCACTGGGACATGTACCATACAACTGCCGAAATCCAAGGGAAATCACAAAAACCAAGGCTATATTTTAACAAAAAAAGTTGCCAATAACCAAAATTCACGAAAACTGACTCACGAAAACCAAGGGTCCACTGTATTATGCAGAGAATTTGTAGTGTGGAAATTAGGAGGAGGTGTGGAGTTACTAAAGTATTATTTAGAGGGATAAAGAGGGGTTACTGAGGTGGTTTGGTCATTTAGAGAGGTTGGAGCAAAATAGGTTAACTTGAAGGGTGCATAAATCTGTAGTGGAAGGGAAAAGGGGTAGGGGTCATCCTAGGAAAGGATGGAGGGAGGGAGTAAAAGAGGTTTTGTGTACAAGGGGACTGGACATGCAGCAGGCATGTGAGAGTGTTAGATAGAAGTGAAGAGAGATGAACAGTTTATGGGACTTGACAAGCTGTTACAGTGTGAGCAGGATAATATTTTGTGAAGGGATTCAGAGAAATAGGTTAGCCGGACTCAAGTCCTGGAGGTGGAAAGTACAGTGCCTGCACTCTAAAGGAGGGGTTTGGGAGACTGGCTGTTTGGAGTGACATCTAAACTGTCATAGCTGGGTGCCTCTACAAAGACAGTGATATTGTGTGAATGATGGTGAAAGTGTTCAATGATGGTGAATGTGTTTCTTTCTTTTTTGGGGTCACCCTGTCTTGGTGGAAGACAGCCGTTGTGTTAAAAGAAAAATTTAGTAAGAGAAAGAGAGGAAACTACTGTTGACAACAGACATATTACAACTTGCTTTAATTGTGTTACAATGTAATGTATCTGCTGGAATTATTTTTAGTCACCATGTAAGTTACATAGGTCAATATTAATTCAAATGGAAACACAGGATCATAAGAGCTCATTTACAAGTACCAAAGATAATTGATAAATACCCAGAATCTTGACTTGCTGTACGCTGCACTGCAGCAACAGCAACAGCTGGTGAGGTAGCTGGTGGAACAACAGCCATATTTGCTACTGGTACCTGAGCCACTCCACTCACACCACTCATGGGAGCCACTATGCCTCCTATCTAAAGAAAAGAAACCATATTCAAATTAGCCATAATATCATCCTGGTTATTTGTAAGAAGTGAAGCACAGTAACAAATTCCTTTCACTCCCCCCTCTCTCACCACTCATCCTCACATTTTACACCTACACTGTACTGTCTCATATGTAGATCTATGTTATTGATGCAAGGCTATATCACAGATCTATATTACAGTCTCTCCTCACTTACCGATGGAGTTCCTTACCTAAGACCACACTGGTAAATGGATTCATCACTAATCGAGGAACCATCCCTTACTGATACTTCAAAAACGTCACAATCCAAAATTAAAACATTCAGTTTTATGTTTGCTGTGAAAATCCTTTCAATCTGTTCATTATTAATGGTAAAACAATATGAAATAGGTCAATAACTTACTTCCGAGATATTCCAGGAAACGTGCACATAGCTGATTACTACTCGGGAAAATTTTTTTGGAAAAAAAAAAAAAAAATCGCACTTTTTTCAGTCTTTGCATAGGATAAGAGTGATCTTCTATAGTCACCCTTCGGGCGCATAGAATGTAACATTTTTTGTAACGGTCATGGTCACTATGTTTATCCCTCACCGCTGCCCACCCTTCAATAACTCTCCATATAATGTCAGATTTTATTAATTTGGGCATCTTTATCATGCTTCTACGTTATGTTATACCTAACACAGTGGTACCTTGGGATACAAACAGCTCAAAACGTTAACAATTATGTAAGTGCTTTTGTAAGTTTATTTTTGGGGGTGTGAAACAGATTAATCTAATTTACATTAACCCTTTCAGGGTTTTTGATGTACTAGTACGTCTTATGTGCCAGGGTTATTGACGTACTAGCACCCATACATTCTAGCGTCCTCAAATCAAGCAGGAAAAGGCTGGTAGGTCTAGATGTGAGAGAAAGGGTCTCCATGGTCAGTGTGCACAGTACAAAAAAAAATCGGGGACCCAGTGGTGCATTGTGGGAAAGCCATTTTATTACACCTTGTTCACCATGTCTAGCACTAAGAAACTCCTCACTCCTCGGCTAATTGGGGCTCTTTTGTTCCCAAGTGACAGTTCAAACACAGATGGAAGTGTCAGTGAAGATGAATTTCATGGTAATGAGGAGTTTGTGACTGAAAGCAATGCCCAGGAAACCAGAAGGAAGGAAGGAAGGAAGGAAGGAAGGAAGGAAGGAAGGAAGGAAGGAAGGAAGGAAGGAAGGAAGGAAGGAAGGAAGGAAGGAAGAGATGAGAGGAAGGAAGGTAGAAAGGAAGAGATGAGAGGAAGGAAGGTAGAAAGGAAGAGATGAGAGGAAGGCAGGTAGGTAGGATGTAAGGAAGGAAGGAGACCATCAACCTAGGATAACCCAAAAAATTCAGACAGTGACTTATTTCCATGTGGGTTGGTGGGGTGGGGAGGGAGGGATGGGTGTTGACAGGCAGTGAGGGTGGTGAGTGGTGGTGTAATCTGTCATTGCGATACTAATTATGCCAGTGACTCACCATATTTACACGTCCACCCTCACACAACAACTACAAGCTTACAGAAGCTGTAGCAGTTCTAGGAAGTGACCAGTGACTTTATTTGTGTATATATATGATAGAAAAATCATAATAAACACCATTTTTTATTGTTGGTTTGTGTAAACATGTTTTGAAAACAATATAATGACAATGTTTGTGAGATTACTGTGTAGCATAAAAGTGTAGCCATATAAGTTACTTGAAGAAAGAAAGGAAGGAAGAAGTAGGGAAGGAAAGAGGGAAGGAGGGAAGGCAGGTAGGTAGGAAGAGATGAGAGGAGGGAAGGAAAAGTAGGTAGGTAGGTTTCTGGGGAGGAAGGGATCTATTGTGGTAGGCAGTGAGGTTAGTGAGTGGAGGTATGATGCATCTTTGTGACACAAGACACACTCATGACTCTGCATATTTACAAGTCCACCCCCACACAACTACAAGCTTCCAGAACCTCTTCCAGTTCAATGAACCTGTCCAGTGACTCTATATGGGCATATATGATATAAAAATAGTAATAAACAAAATTTTTTATTGTTGGTTTGTGTAAACATGTTTTGTAAACAATACAATGACAGCAAAGTTTGTGCTGTTATTGTGTAGTATACAATGAGTGAATATACATCAAATAGTTTTTATATTGGTCACAGAGGCCATAAAAGTTACTTGAAAAAATAAAATATTAACCCTTTCAGGGTCAGCAGGCCCTCTCCTAAACTTGTTCTCAGGGTCGTAAATTTTTTGAAAAAAAAAAAAAAAAAAAATTAATTATTTTTTCTTATGAAATGATAGAGAATCTTTTCCCAATCATAATGACACCAAAAGTATGAAATTTGATGGAAAACTTATGGAATTATGCTCTTGTGAAGTTAGCAGTCTCGACGATGCTTACGCATTGGCGATTTTGCCCACTTTGAGCCTTACTTTCGGCCAATTCCAATGTACCAGTCGACAAAAATCATACCTATTCATCTAGAACTCAATTTTTTCTATCGAATGAATACAAGAAACCACCCATTTACCGACTTCAACTATCCAATAAAGTGGTCCGAAATTGGCAATTTTGCCAATTTCACACAAATTTCAAAGGATGCCAATTTCCAAATAGGGTCCAGAATAAACAAGACAGACAACCTGGCACTAGAATAATATTTCCTCTCTTCATTACTCATGTCCCCAGGCCGCTGTTACATTTCTTTTGCTTTCCACTTTGAATTTTTATTCTCGCAAAAAATAGAAGATTTATGTTATGCAGACTACTGCATTAATGTAGAAATGGTGTATATATGGTATAAATAATATCAGCTCACTTGTGAAAGAATATTAGACTCACCAGTTGATGTGTATTGGATGCATGGTATGATTTGTTTACCTTTGAACTTTGGCAAAACCCGAACATTTCTGCTACTTTGAGCTTAATTTCAATATACTTTTCATTGTGAAACCAATCAATATCATCTCAATTTCTGTAATATGTCTTCCATTCTATAAAATGAGATCAGGAAAATTAGAATACAACCATAAATAGCATATGAAAATACACTGCAAAGTCGCTGTTTTAAACCAAAAACATGGTTGGAGTATTTTTTTTCTCGCTATGCAGTGTGTGCTGCAGGATTTTTTTTATACTGCGTACACTGACCACATAGACTCATTCTTTCATAAGTAGGCCTACCAGCTTTCTCTCTCTAGATTTGAAGGCACTAGAATTTATGCGTACTAGTACGGCGCCAACCCTGGCTTGCACTAGTAGGGTTAAAAAATAAAAGAAAAAAGTAGTAAAAACAAAATAAACTATTACTGGATGACCGGCAGTCATCGATGTTGCTGTAAGCGGTTCAATTTCTGTTAACTTCTTGACTCCATATCTCAATAAGTATTGATCACAAAAAAAAAAATTTTTTGGCCTATAATACTCACAAAAAAGCTATCATTTCACAAGAAATTTTTTTTTTTTTTCACATATTTTTCGACCCTGAGTGGGAGTTAAACCTTTCAGGGTTTCTGACGTACTAGTATGGCTTATGCGCCAGGGTCATTGACGTACTAGTACGCGTAAATTCTAGCACCTTCAAATCAAGCGGGAAAACACTGGCAGGCCTAGATGTGAAAGAAAGGGTCTGCGTGGTCAGTGTGTGCGGTAGGAAAAAATTTGGGGACCCAGTGGCGCACTGTGGGAACACCATTTTAGTACACCTTATTCACCATGCCTCATGGTAAGAAACTCCTCACTCCTCAGCGAATTGGGACACTTCTGTCCCCCAGTGACAGTTCTAATACAGATGGAAATGTCAGTGAAGATGAGTTTCAAGGTTATGATGAGGTTGTGACTGAAACTAATGACCATAATACCGTTAAGAGTGAGGAAAATCCAGATGACCCTCAACCTTCCACCTCTGGTGCTGGCCCACCTTGTTCACGTTCTGCTGTACAAGAACGAAAGAGGAAACTCGTACTTTCCCATATCCAGGACTCAGATGTGAGCAATGGTGATGATAGTGATAGTGAATATGAACTACAAGCTCTTGAAAACAGTTCCGGTAGCGAGAGTGAAGTAGAATATTCTCCAGTGAAGCATCAGTACATGTATATATGACGCTATATGCGCTCTGGTAATGTGCCATATGCTATTCCAAGGGGAAGGAGTACATCTCAGAGAACATCCAATGGCTGTACAACAAGAACAGATAGTGAAAATGAAGATGACAGTGTTGCAATTGGGATGGAAAATGTGCATACATCTGGTGGTGGTAGTGGTGGTGCCAGCCGTGATGCACCAGTAGTTGGCCATGCTGCCACCCACGCTGCTGACTCAGCTGAACTTCAACAAAGGCCACCATCCCCCACCCACCCACCACACCAACCTCCACAACCACAATCACCTGTCAATATTCAGTACCCACCAGAAGACCACACCTGGGATTGGCAGGAAGCTGACAGTTTTGCTCCCAATCCCCATCACTTTGATGAAAGTCAAAGTGGAATACAACCGTCTTGTACACTTGGGAGCAATGCCAGTGAACTAGAATGTTTCGAGTTATTCTTTGACAAACCCCTGATGGAAATTATTGTCAGGGAAAGCAACAGATACTTCCATTACACCATGGCAAACAAAATACTTTCACCAAAATCATGCTTACAACAGTGGAAGGAGACAACTGTGACTGAGATGTATCTTTTCTTTGCCACAATAATGCTTATGCCACATGTGACCAAGCTGATTTGAATAACTATAGACCAATATCTAACTTTCCACTGCTCTCTAAAATCTTTGAAAAATTAATTCATAGATAGAACTATTCCTACCTCGTCTCACACAACATATTAAACCCTTGTCAGCTTGGATTCAGAAATAATAAAAGCACAAATGATGCTATCATACACATGCTAGAACTAATATATACCGCACTCGAAAAGAAAGAAGTCCCACTGGGCATTTTCATTGATTTACGTAAAGTTTTCGATACAGTCGACCATGAACTGCTGTACTCAAAA